GCGCTCTCTCTCTCTCTTCCTCTTTTACAGACACACTAACTGACTCACTGGGTCAAAGTGAATGCTCTCTACGCTCACGTACCCACTTTTGTTCTGCCTGTAAAGGATGCACCACCTGAAGCAGTCGTATTATGCGGCAGAGACACTACCCTGCACCCACATGCACTGCTTTTTTCTCTCACTCACTCACTCACTCACTCACTCACTCATTCACTGGGTCAAAGTGAATGCTCTCTACGCTCACGTACCCACTTTTGTTCTGCCTGTAAAGGATGCACCACCTGCAACAGTAGGTTTATGCGGCAGAGCTACTACCCTGTACCTATATGCACTTTTTCTCTTTCTCTCTCTCGATCACTCAATTATTTGGTTTAATGCTCTGAGAGTCACGTACACACTTTTGTTTTGCCTGTAAAGAATGCCCCACCTGAAACAGTCGTATTATGTGACAAAGCTACTAACATGCACCTACACGCTCTCTTTTTCTCTTTCACAGACACACTAACTGACTCACTAGGTCAAAGCGAATTCTCTCTACGCTCACGTACCCACTTTTGTTCTGCCTGTAAAGAATGCACCACCTAAAACAGCAGTTTTACATGGCAGAGCTACTACCCTGTACCTATATGCACTTTTTTCTCTCTCTCACACTCACTCACTCACTCACTCACTCACTCACTTATCCGGTTCAATGCTCTGAGGGTGACGTACACACTTCTGTTCTGCCTGTAAAGAATGCCCCACCTGAAACAGTCGTATTATGTGACAAAGCTACTAACATGCACCTACACACACTCTCTCTCTCTTCCTCTTTCACAGACACACTAACTGACTCACTAGGTCAAAGCGAATTCTCTCTACGCTCACGTACCCACTTTTGTTCTGCCTGTAAAGAATGCACCACCTAAAACAGCAGTTTTATATGGCAGAGCTACTACCCTGTACCTATATGCACTTTTTTTTCTCTCTCACACTCACTCACTCATTCACTCACTTATCCGGTTCAATGCTCTGAGAGTGACGTACACACTTCTGTTCTGCCTGTAAAGAATGCCCCACCGGAAACAGTCGTATTATGCGACAAAGCTACTAACATGCAACTACGCGCTCTCTCTCTCTCTTCCTCTTTTACAGACACACTAACTGACTCACTGGGTCAAAGTGAATGCTCTCTACGCTCACGTACCCACTTTTGTTCTGCCTGTAAAGAATGCACCACCTGCAACAGTATTTTATGCGGCAGAGCTACTACCCTGTACCTATACGCTCTTTTATTTCGCTCTCTCACACTCACTCACTCACTCACTCACTCACTCACTTATTCGGTTCAATGCTCTGAGAGTGACGTACACACTTCTGTTCTGCCTGTAAAGAATGCCCCACCGGAAACAGTCGTATTATGCGACAAAGCTACTAACATGCAACTACGCGCTCTCTCTCTCTCTCTTCCTCTTTTACAGACACACTAACTGACTCACTGGGTCAAAGTGAATGCTCTCTACGCTCACGTACCCACTTTTGTTCTGCCTGTAAAGAATGCACCACCTGCAACAGTATTTTATGCGGCAGAGCTACTACCCTGTACCTATACGCTCTTTTATTTCGCTCTCTCACACTCACTCACTCACTCACTCACTCACTTATTCGGTTGAATGCTCTGAGAGTGACGTACACACTTTTGTTCTTCCTGTAAAGAATGCCCCACCTGAAACAGGCGTATTATGTGACAACGCTACTAACATGCACCTACACGCCCTCTCTCTCTCTTCCTCTTTCACAGACACACTAACTGACTCACTAGGTCAAAGCGAATGCTCTCTACGCTCACGTACACACTTTTGTTCTGCCTGGAAAGGATGCACCACTTAAAGAAGTCAATTTATGCAGCAGAGCTACTGCACTGCACCTATACGCACTCTTTTTCTCACTCACTGACTCACTCACTCACTCACTTATCCGGTTCAATGCTCTAAGAGTCACGTCATACTTTTGTTCTCTCTGTAAAAAATGCACCAGCTGAAACAGTCGTATTATGTGGGAAAGCTACTAACATACACCTACACACTTTTTCTCTCTCTCCCTTTTTCACAAACACACTAACTCACTCACTAGGTCAAAGCGAATGCTCTCTACGCTCATGCATTCACTTTTGTTTCGCCTGTGGAGGATGCACCACCTGAAGCAGTCGTATTATGCGGCAGAGACACTACCCTGCACCCACATGCACTGCTTTTTTCTCTCACTCACTCACTCACTCACTCACTCACTCATTCACTGTGTCAAAGCGAATGCGCTCTATGCTCACATACCCACTTTTGTTCTGCCTGTAAAAGATGCATCACCTGGAACAGTCGTATTATGCGGCCAAGCTGCAACCCTGCATTTATACGCACTTTTCACACACACTCTCTCTTACTCACACACACTCACTCACTCAGTTACTGTATGGTTCAAAGCGAATGCTTTCTACGCGGACGTACCCTCTTTCGTGCTGCCTGTAAAGAATGCATCACCTGAAACAGTCGTAACATGCGGTCAAGCTACTACCCTGCAGCTATATGCTCTCTCTCACACCCTCTCTCTCGCACACACACACACACACACACACACACACACACACACACACACACACACACACACACACACACACACACACACACACACACACACACACACACACACACACACACACACACACACACACACACACACACACACACACACACACGTACGGACGCACGCACGCACGCACGCATGCACGCACGCACGCAACCGCGCATACCAAGACTCACACACACATGTAGTCAATTTCAAGTTTGGCCGACAATTAGTGATAAACCAGTTGGTGAAATCATTCATTCAGTTAGAGAATTTATGCGTTTTGACAGGGACATTATGCGTTTTCTCCGAAGTGCAGCCCAGCGATTAAAAATAGAGCATTTGCTTGACTATCAGGACACACTGTTCTTCACTAGACAGAACCAGTGTACATTTGTCCTCTCACAAGTGGTGACTCCGAAGATACGTAAACGAAGAGGGTAGCAGTTCCAGTGACATCCTGCCATCTTCTGTTTAAAGACAACGTGTTAGAAATATCTTAACAAGAGATGCACGCTTTTATGGAATGAAGCTAAAAACAGGCCGTGTATGTAAACTGCTTTTCAGTGTGCTTTTGCACGCGCAAGTATTGGCTTGGCCCTTTATTGAAGTAAGACCGGTGTGTCCTTTAGCTAAACTGAACGCAAAAGTATTTGGACAAAGGTATGCTTGCTCGCGTTTTGGTCTCTGGCATTGCTGTTTTGTAGAAATTCAGCATATTTCGTTAGATGCAATTTTTCACTTACCATTCTACCATAACAAACGCATTATATTGGACCTGTGATTCCGGGTGTCCCAAAAAATGAGTAAAAAAAGGGGTGAAATCGAAGGACATAAAACGGTAAACGAGAAGTGTGCCATTGAATAAAAGCCAAAGCAGTGCGTGCCATAGAAGCGGCAGTGCGGTGAAGGTGGCTAGCTGGCGGTGCTCGGCATCACTCGGCGTGTGAAAGCAAAAGTGGTTTACACAAAGAACTCGCGGACAACATATTCTTACGTGGCAGCCGGTTATGTGACAGTTCCTGCTCGGCATAACCACCATAGTCCTATAAGGCTCCCTGACTTTGTGATTCTATGTGTGGCAAAAGAAAAAAAGAAGGCCATGTCTTTTCATCCCCAACACAGCAAAGTAAACACCACATTAGACACACGCCTCAAGACATGACACACAGGATGTTTAACAAATTGTAACCAAGACTAAGTTTTGAAGGTATATTAAGAAAAAATACTCAAAATATACACACATGATACATATGCCTGTAGGCCCGAATAAAATTGAAGCTGGTAGCGCGGAGAAACGTAAGTGCGGGGTGACGCCAACTGTTTAAGAAAAAAATAAATACAGCTTTCGTTGTATTTTGTGTCTTCTTCAGTTGTTTTCAGGTACGCAATGTAGTCATACGAGAGAAAGCCAACGAGACCCTGTTTTCGGAAAGCTAGCGCCATCGTGGCACTCTGTCTTTGTTTTTGTCAGAGTTCTCGAAAGAACACACATGGCTTATACTCAGCGTGGCATGTTTCCCAAGCGTTTACGTCTTCTCGTGTTAGCCTGTGTTTTTTTATTTTGTTGTTTAAAGCTCTCTGTAGGGCAGTACGCTTTTTTATAATTCATAGCTTTTCTAAATTCTGAAAAAAAGATAGTTTGAAAACACACCTAAAAAAGATCAGCTTGTCATTCCAGAAGAAAATACACTTTGTGCATGATAGGACTCGTTCATAGCAAACCACTGAACCGCAAGTACGTAGAAAATGTGCGCATTTCATGTTAAATGCTATAGTAGTTGGAACACCGTCAACGACAGAAACGACGTGAATTTTACCACGCACGAGCACTAAGCCGTTCAGCCTCTTTCGTCTAGAGAGAAAGTGGTACCATTGAAATTAGCATAATCTTTTTCAGGGACACCATTCTGTCACTGAAGCACGCTTGACGTTCTGCAAGTCCGAAAACTATAAACAAACAGCATTCGGAAATCTGAAGACCAAATTCATGAAAAGGAACGGCTGGATGTCTTGGTCTAAAGGTAACGAAATGACAAAAAAGGTAGGAACTCAGAATGTAGCTTTAGTACTGCCATGTTCTGAAAAATCGGTGCAGGACAAGAGTCTCCAGTTTAGGTCGTGCTTGCATAACTGGCTTTCAGAATAGTGGAAGCACTAATGTGTACGCAGAAGAGCGAATATATTAGAAGCTCCATACGCTTCTGTCGATCATTACTACTGCATTCCGACACTATGCCGGTAAATGTTTTGGCTGAAATCAAGAGGTTTCCTAACTGTTGAGCGTGCTTAAAAGGATGAACTGGAAGTGGCGAAATTTGTAGACGTTTCACAACCAGAGAACACACACGAAACATTAAAACAGATAATAGCAGGTAGTGGATGATGCAGGCTAGCCTTACCATAGGTATCCCTGGTGGAGGAGCCTGTTGTTGAGTTTGTGAGGCGACCGCAGCGGGGCAGACCTGACATGAACCCTGGAGACCAGGGCAACATTGGTCTGCGCCTCTGCGACCCTGAAAGGCAAGGACAAAGAAACGTTTGTAAATATTCGAGCATCAAAAAACAAAAAAAGACAAAAATTACGCTCGGCCGCCACCAGATAATGGAACCAGGTGAACACGTGGTGATAGCTGAGCTGCTATGGTCTTGCACGGCTAAGCGCGAGGACATGAGCCTAAACCCCGGCCATGGCGGCTGCCCCCTCATAGTGATGAAATGGCAAGAACACCTGTGTACTCCGACTCAGGGGTACTTTGAAGAAATATGAATGGTTAAAGTTATTCCGGGATTATTCACCACGTTGTGACTAAAAAATGAAATTGTGATTTTGGGTGCGCAAATACACGTAAGCTAGTTATCAAAATGCCAAAGTATGGCCTTTTTAAGGAACGCTTGACAAGTTCACATGCTTTTGAATTCGCGCGCGCAACGGCGTTTCAATTGGATATCACCCCGCACTGTCGGCTAGTCATGTGCCGGAGTACTTGACAACGGCATTCTTACTGGACACACTGGCGAATGCTGATAATCACGCATCAGTTATTCGAAGTGGTGTGCAATTGTAAGTATGGCTCACCTACAAGAGGCAAAAAGTCATTTGTTCAAAAAGTGCAGAAAAAAAGGAGAGTGAGAAGCTTGAAGCCAAAATGCGACAGAAGCTCTAAAAGCACGTAGCCTCCAAAGCAAAGCAAGTCTTTCACGCAGCGATCAGAGCAATAAATGTAATGCGACGTTCCAACAACAATGAGAATATCAAAGGCTTCAATCTTCAGACGCATATTTCACGGTTTCAACCGTTATTTGCAATTACGCGCACGAATGAACAACGATGACGTGTGTCATCGTACGCTGGTCACTGCGAAGCTGCATGCAGCGTAGGAACATGCGTCCCAAGATAGGCGTGAGTGGCCAACCAAAACGCACCGAATGTTACATTATGGAGTTACACGTCCTAGACAGCCAGGCAGCCTTCCATAAACTGCAACACTATGCAACCGCAATATTTTGCGCTATGGCGACAATTACAGAGAAACAACGGCTGCCGTTTCCATGGATTGGTTAGGTTTAAAACATCCTTCTACTTTTCCAAACTTAGGAAGCTACAGCTTTGTTTCAGTGCTTTAGTTTAAATTTATTTTTTAAATTTTTAAAATTAAATTTTTAAATTTTATGAGTATTATTTTTACATGGGGTAGATCTCTAGCTATTGGCTCATCTTTAAGGTGTACAAAAAGCCTTCTAATGCGTGACCTGTCCGTACAACCATGATTAACAGGCGCGCACTAACGAAGGGAACTAATAATATACTTGTCCCGGTGAGAGAAGTTCGGCGCGCCGGTCGCGACGGAACCGCCGGCATCATTGTTTACATCGTCGACTCACCATGGTAAATCCGGTTGGTGGTGCTTCCCTCGGTTGTCCTTGGGATGCCACCGCAGCAGGACAAACTTGACAGGAACCCTGGGAAACCGGGGGTGGCACCCACAAGAATCGCAACTGGGGCTCCACCACTCCGGCCCCGAGCCGCTTCACGCGCAACTCCGCTCCGCCGCCGCGTCAGAGCCTCTCTTCGACTTTTCCTTGTGTTTTTTTTTCTTTTCAAATTTCAATCTTTCCGTCGCTTAGCAAGCATGTTAAACCTCTATAATGGTGCGCTGTTAGAATGCCATTCTCCAATCCAACGACAAGAAACCAACTCGGCAGTCTACAAGTGCGCGAAGTGTAGGTGTTGTAATTGGTAGAGCGTACTCCGGCGGTCTGGGGTTAAGTAACCGTACGTTATGTCAGGTGAAACACAACCTACCCGGGCATGTTACAACATTGATTCTGAGTTCTAGTGCGCTGCCGCTTTCTGTAGGCTCAAATAAGGAGCTCACTACGATAGAGATGTGCATGTGCTTTAACGTTTGACGTACTTTGGAGTAGTTGCTTGAACATGAACTTGCGGAGCCTAGTAGAGCTACAACATACCCCGTACCATTGTGATCCGGTGTTGAAGTATTGCCAAAGCACTTAGTATCTTCGGTTTTCACCATCAACAGCCATAATGACTTATCGAATCACTTCTGATAATGCTTTGGTAGTGCTAGCTATATTGTTACGTGTAGTAACCACAAATATTTCTTGCATAATTCAGTACATTGTGGATTACCGATTAGAACTGCACTGTTGAGGTTTACTACAAAAAAGAAAACAATTTCATAAATTTCTTGAAAGTATTCCAAAAGTGAAGAATATGGATACTTTAAATACAAATATCACAATGTATTTGGGCGTTTTAAACTGAGGGTATCAACTGATAAACAAATGGCAGTTGAGGAAATTTTAGTGAACCCATTTTTGATAATGAGCACACACTGAGATACCAAAGTTTTCAACCAAAAATTAAAGAAAAATAAAATCTAGGGTAACCAACTGACAAAGCAAAGGGAAACGCTGCATTAGCTCGTGTTCTACGTTCCATCGCTCTTTGTGCGATGCTTAGGAACTAATATTTGCTTGACGCTGCGCGTATCTTTTCTCCTCATACTGACAGATCTCCGCCATAATGTACACAACTTGACTCTTTGAGAACAATACACGAAAGCGCAATCCTTTAGTGAGGTTTCTCGGCGTCCGACAAGCCAAAGGAACAAAGAAAAGACCGGTTTAACTAGATTCTGAAGTTTTAAATCACGTGAACGTATACATAACCAGCGGTCCATGACGGGCGCCAGCTCCAAAGGCCATCCCAGCGTAGCACGCCATACATGTTATGTCATTGCCTTTGCATCGGCAGCACCTTGTGTATATCGACCACGCAGTTAGGCAGCAAGATGGTTCGTTTTCGTGTTGCGTAAGAGGCCATTTTTCGACACGTATACAAAGCAAAAGCCAAATGCGAAAGCCAACAGTAGTTCTGCTGTTTCCGGTCGCTGCTGTCGATGTGACACACCAATGGCAGAGATAGGCGCAGAAAGTGAGTCGCTGTGCCATGGACTGGGGTTCGGCATTGTGCGCCATTGAAAGAAAAAAAAAGTATAAGGTGAGCATGAAGGAATCAGAAGCGCTGTCTCGGCATTCACGGTGCCCACAGAGTTGGACAAAAAACAAAGAAATAAAAAAAAGAGTAAGCAGATTGTGTGACAGCGTGATCGAGAGAGGCAGTGAGCGTGGCGGTGCAGAGGTTAGCGTGAGCTACATCGGAGACCGGCAATGCGTCAGCGTTCAAAGCAGTGAGAGAAGTAGAAGATGAAAGAAATGAAGAAATAAAAAGAGGAAGATAGACAACGCTACAGAAGAAAGAAGGGACGTAATAAAAGAGCTAGAAGTTGATGAAGCTTAGCCGTACACACGTTCATCCGCGAAACATATGCGCTAGGTGAAGGTCCGCAATAACGCTGAGTCAGGAAGACGTCGGGGAGATAAAGGCTCATTTTACGAGGCAATAAGAAGCCAAGCTGGAGGCAGGAAAAGATACGCGGAGGAGACCGTACCAGAACGAATTAAAGGGTACGGCACCAGAACTTGGAGATAAATGGCGTTCTAATTTATCCTCAGAGCCCTTCAGTCACTGCTCTTTTTTTTTTCTTAAGGCACCGCGTTTTTCAACGAATTGTGTAAAAATAAATGGCTGGGAACGGCTCTGTGTTGACTGCTTGCATATACATGACATTGCCAAGGACTTATGTAATCAATATCGTTACACCTTCACAAAACATTTAATTGCTTGTTCTTTGGTCACTTGTTCTGGCTGTCTTTTTTTTGGGTTCGAGAAGTTATTGAAAGCTGGTTTTATGATGAACAAGTGCGCCCATAAATTATGTTATTTTTGCTCCTACATGGAGCCTCACCAAGTGATTTGGTAATCGGAGAACGGGCAGGCCTAGCGCTGAACTGGAAAACAACATGCGCCTAAAAATTCACGATATTATTATACACCACACACGTGAGAAAAAGAGGTAGATAGATTAACAAAGATGAGCAAGTGAAAGAGAATAGATGAGAGGGAAAAGATATTGCCCGCTCCTGCAAAGACGTCCCTTTTCGCGCACAAAAGCACCGGGAGAAGTCACCGTGCATGTTGTATACGTTTAATTCTTACCGTGGCCAGGGTGCCTCTAGTGAAGCGAGTGTACTGAATCACGAGCGATTTCTCATTAAAAAGGAGGGTTTGGTGAACTGCCAAAAATAAAGAATGCCACATGCTTGCAGTAAAGTGAAACAAATCAGAGAAAGAAAGAGAGACAGAAACGTCGTTGCTTGAAGTGAGTCAGCTCCTTTCTAAACTATGTTTCACAAACATATGCCACTGCAGTGGATGCCAGAGTGGTACTAAGTTCGAAAAGCACTTTGACTTGGGCGAGTTGGTACATGATTGTAAGTCAGCCCTCACCTCTGTTCCATGTGTCTCCATTTGTCCTCGTCTAAATTGCGCTGAAGCCTATCCAATTAGGTACTAAGTTGTTACCACGAAGACGCATACATCGCTCCACCAATTATGCCCCAGTTCCATTATTGTGCAGCACTATAGCATAACGGTTAAGTTTATTTGCTTCTTCATGATAGCGCAGATGTTGTAGCTGGCATTGGTGAATCAGGAGCAGTATCACGCAAACGCAATGCAAGGCCCGTTATTTGATAATGTTACATCAGACTTCGTATTTTTGCAATTCGGTACAGTGTAACTGCAAATAGTTGTAACATTTACGATAATGTGGCATCAATGCAAATTGACACCTGATTCCACCAATCGCAAATGCAGCCGTGAAAGTTCACGCATTTACATTGTGACGCGCATCGCAGTGCCGTCTGGTGGCTTCCACTCCAGTGTGATGTATTTGCTAGATGGAGTTTGCGAAAAAACGATCTCTGCGAGGCAGTGCTAGCTCAGAACGCAACATGTAATCGTGAACGTGACAAATGTACACAGTTCAGATAAGCGACAAGTGGTAGTTCTGCGCTGTCGCATTTTCTTTATTTCTGTCAGAAGCGGTGAGCTCATGCGGCGCAGTAAAAGTACGCCGACTTCGTAGTGACAGACGTCGATGAAGTGAAGTAGAGAGACAAAATGTGAAAGTGATCAGTACACTGATTCCACAAAAATGGACGCAGGAGAAAAATTAGACGTTACGTAGAGAACAAAACACTACATACTAGAATGGCAAAATTCAACCGTGAAAAGCTTAATAACAATCATCTGATACTTTAAATTTCTTCTAAAGAAGAAATGAGGGCATGTGAACATGATCTATGTAAATTCGCCTTGTTTTATTATAACCATATGCTACATATTTGTGACAAAATAAAAAAGTTACGCAGGCAAGGTAGGAGGAAATGAGGTTGACAAAAAAGTAGTGATGCCGAAAAGTTTCTTTCACAAACAATAAATGGTACTGCACTGCGAGTGGTTAATCCCAATATCATAATCCTGAATGAAGTTTAGTTTTTACTATACCATACCACTAGTGAAACCCAAACTGACTCACTTCATGACGAATACTCGCCAAAGAGAGGCGATAAAACGGGAGAGCAGTCACCAAAGCATAAAATATATACACAAACACACACAAAAAATAAAAACGACACAAGAGCAACAAGGCACAAAATTGAACGAGACCGTAAAGAGAAGAAGAAGAGAGTGTCCACTTACGACCGTCTTGACAATGGATACTTCAGGACTGGCTAGCAAGGGCTCAGAGCTTGGCTCGTTGGAAGAAGCAGCGGCGCACCTCTGCCTGTGTTGCTCTGCAAGTTTTGCCAGCTGCTGACAGCGGGTTTTCCTCATGGTGATTCTCTTGCCAAGATATCCTACCGCGGCGTACTCCAGGAGCGAGGCAAACACCATTACGAAACAAGTCCCCAGGTAGATGTCGATACTCTTCACGTACGAGATTTTAGGCAGTGCTGCGTTGGTACTGGACATGAGTGTGGTCATGGTGAGCACTGTGGTCACGCCCAGGGAGACGCGAGCTGGTGTAGCGTTACGGTGGAGCCAAAAGGAGACCCACGAAATAACCACGATCAAACTGGCGGGGATGTAGATCTGGATCAGGTAATAACCCATGGAACGGACGAACCGTATTTCGCAAACCAGCCGGGAGTAGTTTCCTACAACGACAGCGGAAGAGGAAGGACAAGGGCGGATGTGAGAGGGGGAATGGGGGAAGGGGAAACCATGTTTTACTGGTCGTCGCATGCACAGCGCGAAGGCGCACCCGCGCCGCATGTCCCAAGAAACCTACGCGAAAGCTGCCGACTGCAGCAGCGGTGGCGACACTGTCCCCTCCCCTCGCATTTCTCTGTGACGTCTTCTTGCCTTCTTTTTGCTCTTAGTTTCCGATTGAGCCGAAAGAATCGCATTGGCTTCTCTCAAACAACGCTTTTGGGCAAAGGTTGAGCCATCAGGCACTCCGCTATAAGGCCCCGACATGGGCCCACATACACACATCACACACACACACGCATAAAGCCTTTCAAAGTCGCCGCTCGAAGCTGTGCTCTCGTCCAACAGCTGAGGCGCGTGCCGTGCTAACTCGGCACAGCCAATCAAACCTCCGATCACAACAAGCTAGAGAAGAAAGAAGGTCGCGCTCTTTCATGAGCCGGTAGCTTTCAGCCAAAAAGCAAGCTTTCGGCATGGCCTGACTGGTACAGACTGTCAGCTCGCTTATACGGAGTTACCACTACAAGCGATCTAAAACTGCAGGTTGACGATGTTGGGTGGTAAAGGCGAGAAATCTCACCAGAATGGGCAAGCTGTGACGTATAGGGGTGAATGGAAAGCACGCAGTGGGTGCTGTGCATTAGCTAACGAACTGCATGTGGTGGCATCTACGCCTGCTGGTAGACGGGAGCATGCAGCTGGTGATCAGTACAATGCCATGTTGCGAGGCAGCAACTACACGACCCTCCCAGCACTGTGCGAAACTTGGAGCGCGGTGGTGGGCAGGGAGCTTATTAGCCAAAGTGTTCGTGCTGGGTGAGCGCGTAGATGCTCGTCTGTCAACATTAATGAACATGGGCAAATTGTGTAACAGAGACAGTGAACACAACACTCTACAGCGATTCAAGTTCTTCATGGCTCTTAGGGAATATAAAACGCAGCAAGATACAAAGAAAGATGTGACTACTACTGGAACGCAGTCCTTGAAACTTTGCCAGTTCGCGAAAATGCGGAGTGGGAGAATTGTTACACCAAAGATGGTCGCGCAATGTTCTCAGCGCTATACATTATCCTTGCCAAGCTCATTGCTCAAAATGAAGGCTAATGCTGTGACGTGGTGTTAATAAGAAACATGTAAAAACTATGTCATGGTTTCGGTTATTTTTTCATCGTACACGTGGAAACGGGTTCGGCGATATGAGGCTTACGGCTTTAATCTTGGAGTAACACTTGCAATCAGACTGAGTGGAAATAACAGGGCCGCGACATACGAAGCCGGTAGTAGCGTTATTATTTGGCATTCTGATTATGGGGCATTGGGGACTCCCTTTGTTATGTTTCTTCTTTCTCTCTGACAGAAACTGATTGTAAACTGATACACCCTGACGAGCAACGACGTAGATCTCTTTTTGATCGTACAGTAGTCACCATTCTTGCACCCCCCCCCCCTTCCTTTTTTAATGAAAGAATGCATGATGTGTTTCAATATGGAGAGCACCAGGTTATCAAAAGGACCGGAGCGTACGCCTTGAGCTATTACTACGAGTTTGGGGCACATATACTTAAGAATGATGGCTGCTATTATATTTTGAAGATACAATATCAAAGTAGGCTACCATTAGTAGTCGTTGGATTGCGTGCTCGACGCGTACACCTCAAAAATTTCCCAAAAACTTTTCACACTGAAAGAAATTGCTGACCCCAATATAAATTATGATACGTCGATGTATTACTATTGTTCCAAAAAGTAGGGTTCTTGTGAGAAGTAGACAAATTACTTGAGCAGAAAGAACTGCGTTCAGGCAGGAATCACTGCTTTCAGTACCACGAAACACAATTCAGCGGACCTGATTTACATGCAGGTATATCAATACTGTGCGTATAAATAAAACCTTAGGCAGTAAATGCACAAACTAATGTGCAATGATTTGCGAATCGCTTACCCTGTAGAAGGTGCAACAACGCCAACAATGCTGTTCTATTCGAGTAAACACAAACAATTACAAAATGTGCGTTCTCTGGTATCGTTTCCTAAAGAGTCGAAACAAAGAAAAAAAAGGATCATAAGTTCCAGATGATCAGTGGCAATGAAAAGCGGTAGATTTAGTTTACCCTGGTGTTTACTGCGGTAACAGGGTGTTATATTTCTAACAACTACTTCTACAGTATACAAAAAGACTAGAAACCGGCATTGTATGGCACATTTGGTGGACCCCAAGTCGAGCCAGTGCTTTCTTTGCGGTTCGCAGAACATTGTTCGAAGCAATTTTCGCATAGCTTTGCCTGCACATCACCTCAAAGTTTGTAACGTTGTTCCTTCAGGATTCTGATAACTTAAACTCATCAAAACACGTAGTCAACCTTAAATCAGATCGACGTTAATTGAGGCAAAGTGCAAGGAACCGAGCGAAAATTCTGCTCCATGGTGCAAGGATATAAGAGGTGTTTTATCGCATAATATAAAACGAGCCTTTCGAACCGTTCATTTGGCCGGTTTGAGTGGATCGCTGCCACAAGGGAAGTTCAAGCATCGATAAAGTTAGGATTTACTGTGCACGCGTGCGCTAATTTCAACGCACGACACTTACGCATTCAAAGTTCTCCGGCGTGTAATTGCAGACTCGCGCATTATGAGCTATAGTGACAGGTTCGAAGCATATTTTGACGCTCTAAACATCCAATCCTGCCACCGCTCGCTCAATTCTGCTATGATTCGTTTGTTGACTCGCCTGCAGAACAATTTACTCTATCGATCAACCGTCACATTTTCAGCCCTTGTTAAAGCTAATAAAGAAACGCCCAGTGACAGACTACGCAAGAGCGGAACAGCCAAGATAACACGAGTTAAACTACGGCGCTAAATTGCGGACCACGAGGAGCGACGAGTCCAATACTGGTCACTACTGACCGGAAGAGTTCACGCTGCTCGCACGCGAATTGTGCTACGAAACGAGGAAGAGAAGTCACGCTCAGCTAAGTTCGAACCATAGCGCCGATCGATTGATTGGCTGGAGAACTGGTCAGGCACAGTTGCCTAGCCGGCGGGCGCCGATTTGCGTTCGAAGTTTCCACTCCACTGGGGCGCGATAGCGCGCCGAGACCGAACGCCATATTGCGCCTGAGGCGCCAGCTCGGAGACGGCGGGTCACGGCGGGTCAGGCGCGTTCACTGGCTTTCTGTGCGGGAAATAACAGGGCTCATCAGGTGTAGTCTTCGAGGGGCAACGCCGTGCCCTCTATACACTTCACTATCCCTAAACGGGAATCTGCCTGGACAAATGAGTTTGCCAATCGATTCATCGTTCAGGGCACCGCCAAGGACCGGAAGGAAGCGCTGGCTTTGTGGGTTCTGCTAATGCCCAGCGGCTGCAGCCGTCCACCAATACCCACCCTCGTTTCCTTCCAGAGAAAAAAAAGTGAAGGGGAAGAAACGCTTAAAGCGAGAGTACGTGTCGGGAGTCGATAGATGAAGATTCAGGAAAGGCAAGAAGAAATGAGGGCGGTGAATTTTGTCGCTCTTCAGTTTTTTTTGCACGTTTGTTTTTCGTACGTGGTGGTGCTCTGCTGCCGGACGTGCACGCTTGAGGATACGGGAAAGTGAGGGTGGTTATTTCAGTGAGTGTTCAGCGCATAGCCAGCCTGAGATTGGCACTTGCCTGTCGTTAGGGCAACCTCTTTGGCTTTTTGGACGTGACCGAGGACTTTGAACTGCGGCAACTCAACCTCCTTGGCGATACGGACGGACGTGTCACCGTCCGACCACCGGTAGCGGATGTCTTTCATGGTGTAACCAACTGCGAGGAAAAGGAAAGAAAAAACATTAAAGAATGCATACAGATACAAGACCCTCCACATTAATATCTCTTTCTTCAACAAGTTAAGGAATGCCCACTAGTTTCCAAAACATCATCATTCCTCCCTTACGATCACTACAGCAGTCAAGCTGCAGAAAATGCAAATTTTTTGCAGTCTCCTCATTTTTCGATATAGTATCAGTTCTGGTAAAAAATGAGCAAATGATTGATTGAATAACAAGTTTCTAGAACACACTAGTATACTTCAAAATTACTTTTAAAAACTTTTTACACTGATTTCATACATGTATTTTGATATGAACGTGTCGGGCGATATGTAGCTTCACGTGTGAACTCATTCTGGGCCCCATGACTAGAGTTTGCCAATTTTAGTGCTGATATATGACAGGGCATTCTGCGGTGTTAGTTAAAGCACATAAGGTGTATAAGCGGCTGCATTTTATGCGAACTTCAGTGTTACGGGACTGGACGGATGTTTTATCTTGCCATGTGAACTGACTCCCTGTAGGTGCTCAGGTGCTATTTTATGTATTTCTCTTTCTTTTCGTTCCTGTGACTTCAGGGTATCCTATCACCTGTGAAAGGGAGTAGCCAGCGCTGTAAAAAAGCTTTAACGTCTCCTAACATCTTCTAATAGAGAAAGCGAAGGTTCAATTTTCGACGAAAAACGTGGCCAGCATAACAAGTAACCAAGAGTATCGTTAAATATGTATTTACTTGGAACTCTGCTTTCCTCGCATTCTCCGTGAGCTACTTTGCATCTTATAACGTTCCTGACGACATTTTCACTTCTAACATGGTGTTTGCACTTGAAGATTGACGCGCCACTCAAGCAGATTATTTTGGTAGTTACGTGCTGACCTTGCATCTATGTTAACCACGCCCACGTTCCATCTTCGTCGTTCATAAAAGGTTTGAAAGAAAGATAGAGCGAGAGAAAGAGAGACCACACGAATGAACGCGTTTGCCCTCGCGCGACATTTTCAAGGTATAGAAAAACAAACAAACAAACAAGCAAAGAGCGTAATGCACAATCATCTCACCTTAAATCGCATATATATCTCGGCCGAGCCTTATTCGGGGTACTGCCCCTCTCTATACATATTGCGCATGCAGGACAGGCGCGGACTATATAAATTGCACGACAGTGACCGGAGGCGCTGCTGGTGACGCCTCCTTTTGTGCAAGGAGAGACGAGGTTGTGGGAGGAAAAACTGAAAGAAAGAGAGCCCGAAAAGTAAGGCGACACGCGAGAACCGCGCCGGTCATTCTGACCAACTGTGGCCACGCGCCACGCCTCACCAACTCCCTCCCCTTTTCCTTTTTGGGCCATATTCGTCGTCCTCGATCAGCGCGCCAGCCAGAGGCTTCTTTGCATTCATGGTGAAGCATCAAGACCCTGTAGCCAATTCAGAGCAGGGAACCGCGTAGACTCCTTCCCTTCGGGCGATGTGACACGAAAAAGCTAACTACAACAAAACACCGTTGCCTCGCCGCCCTTGTTGGGAGAGTAGGGAGGAAAGAAACACTCCGGCACAGGAGCGCGCGCGGACGATCAGTCAAGGGGGCCGTGCCACCGCACAAGAAGAAGCGTGAAACCGCCACCGCCACCGCTGTCATCGCTATGCGGCGAGTTTGCTCAGCGCGGCCGCGTCCCACCGCAATATTTGCACCGGGGCAAAACATGATTTTCGGGCTGCCGCAGACTTCCATATATATATACATTTTATGGCTCGTTCGTTTTTCGCGGTGCTCGCGCCAGCGGGGCACACACTAGGGAGACTCTCTGGAAGCTCGACCGACCTCCTCACCATCCTCCTTGCTACCACATCTTGTATTCTTCGTAGAAAGCTTTATTATTTCATGTCGGTCGGGTCTATGCATCTTTTTTTTCACTTCTTTTCGCGAAGGTTTTTCACAACGGGGCCTCGATTGCGTCGAAAACACTCGCTCCATCGCACACGCCTCATCGCTGCTGTATTCTGGTTCTTTGCGAGACAATGTATTCTTTGATTTTCTGAGTTGCACCTTTTCGTGGTCAGGTCTTTCATCCCTCTCTCCTAACTCCATCCTCCTTTCTTCATCCCTCTCTCCTTTCTTCTTCCTTTCTTTCTTCCTTCTTTCCTTCCTTTCTTCCTTCCTTCCTTATTCTTTCTTTCCTTCTTTCTTTCTTTCTTTCTTTCTTTCTTTCTTTCTTTCTTCTTTCTTTCTTTCTTTCTTTCTTCCTTCCTTTCTTTTTTTATCAAGGAGTAAATTATGCAAAGCACATACATAAGCTGAATCTCCTCGCTTTCTACGAAAGAAAGAAATCACCTCTTCTTTCTTCGAAAATTCACTTCCTCCCCTCCTACGCGTATTTTTTTGTTATCGAGCATGATTGATTTATTCCGCTTAGCGAAAGCGGAATGAATTTTTTCGTGCAAACCAAATTAAGAAACAAGTTGAAATACTCGTGTCTTTGTTAGACAAAGAAGCTAATATAGGAAAACACACACACTCGTCCGGTTCTGCGATTACCGGTATACATAAAAATGAACAAGAGGCACCTTGAAAAATTTGCCCCCCCCCCCCCCCCCCCCCCCCGAGAAAACTTAATATTTTTCGCGAGCACTTTTTCTACTTCGCGTGGCGTGTTGACATAAAGGTCGTGCCCAAATTTACCTTACAAAGAGCCTACAACATTGCTCAACAAGGAGGAGAGGTAATATTTACTCACAATCGAAATCATCGTGTTATACGTGCTGATGGGGTTATTTACCAGACAACCTCAAGAAAAGATAAATAAAAAGAAGGCTACGTTTTATGCAAAGCTGTTAACTTGTGCAGCAGTAGTTATCTGTCGTGAAGATTCTTGTATACTCGAGTGAGAGGTATACCTATGTATTTGCATCTTGCGGTATTCAATTTGCTCTCTCTTGTATGTTGAAGCGTAGTTACATGCAGTATCATGAACGCAGTTGTTAATAGGAAGTTTTCTAATAGGGTCCCCAAACCTCTGCGACCTTAAGAGCTTTGTGAGTGTAAGCGTTGGCGTTCGCAGAAGCAAGGAGTTTTCAAACAGGTTTTCATGCTTACCACTCGAGTCTTGCTCAAGGTCACGTTTTCTTCAAAAGCTGTATGTTGTTTTTGGTCAGCTGAAAGATTAATTCGTTGCACCTATGAACCGTCCAGTGAATAGACGTAATTTTGTGTAAGAAATACTGTTGTTTGAATCAATCGAGACACACGTAATGAAGCCAACTACCTTAAAACAACGGCCTCTTCGATACAATTGCCTCGCTGCAGTGGTCTAGTGGCTAATGTACTCGACTGCTGACCCGCAGGTCGCGGGATCAAATCCCGGCTGCGGCGGCTGAATTTCCGATTGAGGCGGAAATGTTGTAGGCCCGTGTGCCCAGATTTGGGTGCATGTTAAAGAACCCCAGGTGGTCGAAATTTCCGGAGCCCTCCACTACGGCGTCTCTCATAAACATATGGTGATTTTGGGACGTTAAACCCCACAAATCAATCAATATTCGATACAATTAGCAATAAAACGCTGCATTTCTGTTCACCAAGCAACTTTGACTGAAACTTGGCGTCAGAAAACGTGAGTTGACCCCCCCCCCCCCATTCCTGCTTTTATTACACCGAAAGCTGTTATCAGATCAAGACATGGGCCATGTGCGGCGCCGTAGTTGTCCCCCACCACCACCGGTGTCCGTAACCACTATCGCAAGAAATAGGAAATGCTATTAGGTTAAAAACACAAAGAACACAATGGGATTCAGACACGGGACCACTGCGTGCCAGCCCAGAATTTTACCACTGAGCCACTCCGGTGCTTGGAACTAATTTCTAAACTGGCCTAAGGCAGGCTTGATGTCGGGAAACAAGTCGCGTTAAGACGAGTTATAAAACGGTTTAGAACATCAAACGAACAACCAGGCATCACACAATGCTAATCGTGTAACAAATGGGTCTTTCAATGCTGCAACCCATTATGATGATGATGATGATGATGATGACATGATATGAATAGCGCTCACCCATAAAGGGGGATAGGCCACAATCCTGGCGGAGAGATGCGTAACTATATATTGACACCAAAACCAATCTTAAAATCCATTATAAAAGCTTGTTCTTAATCCTATTAACTGTGGCGCACACCCACTTCACGCATAATTCTTTATCGTGGTCAGCCACTGCATAAAACATGCCTCAAATTTAAATCAAGTTTGTAGCGGATACCGCGCTTCTCCACGGAATAACGAAGGGTAGCGTATTGTCACGGGGGCGTGACGTAGACGAAGAGAGAAGACACGATGATAAAATTAAACTGTTCATTCGGCCAAACCTGTGGCCAGGAAACTCAAGGTCAGATTACAGCAACACATGGGCGCTTATAGCGACGAACAGAGCGTCGGTCGGCCATCAACTAACAAACAGCGAAGCGTTGCGGCATTTATGCAGGTCATTGCAGGATATTCAGGGCATTGCAGGGCATTTATGCAGGATATTCTAGCGTTATCGCTAGCAGCCCCCGTAGATTCCAGAATAATCTGTAACTTCCGCGAAGTGGGCGTGACCATAACTGAATGATCTACTACAATCCCGAACCTTCTCGAACATAGCAGGCGGGGTTCACGCTGAGAATTACCTACAAAGTGACGGGACCATAACGAAATTTGAGGAAGGAACGTGGCAACATGAATGCTGGCCTACTACACCAAAATTCACAGCATATCCATGGATTGAATGATGATGAGTGGGGAGAATCGTCCGTCAGTTCATCTTTGCTTGCGTCCATCCGTCCGTCTGTCTGTCTGTCTGTCTGTCTGTCCGTTCGTCCGTCCGTCCATCCGTCTATTCATCCATCCATCCATCCATCCATCCATCCATCCATCCATCCATCCATCCATCCATCCATCCGTCCATCCATTCATCCATCCATCCATCCATCCATCCATCCATCCATCCATCCATCCATCCATCCATCC